TTGAAATTGATATGTACAGTTTTTTTCGCTGATAAAACAGCACATGCTTTATGATGAAAGGGGATAAACCCTAATCGGAACTCATTGTATTATTTTTACACTTCTTTATGGGGTCATTTGTCACAATATACCGATTATTCAAAAAGGATTAATTTCGTGACAATTAATGGTTTTACATGTTTACGTGTGAGAAATTGGAATTTCTGTGTGAAAGCAAGGTTAAATGAATGGGACCTTAGTGTGGAAGCTGATGTTAGAGTTAAACGGGTATGTGAGAAGGTACGAGATATTTGTACGCAGGAGCACGTGAATGATCGGTATGATTTATTAAACAAGCCAAGCTGTAGAACGGGAGGTAATAAATTACGAACGTATCGAATGTTTATGGATGTATATGGCTGTGAAAGTTATGCGAGCTTGAGTATGTCCCGGCCCGTTCTGACCGCTCAGCCTTCTCCAAATTCAGATCAGGTACTGCTCCTCTGCATTTGGAAACCGGCAGATATACAAATGGGAATGAGTGAGTGAGTGAGTGAGTGAGTTTAGTTTTACGCCGCACTCAGCAATATTCCAGCTATATGGCGGCGGTCTGTAAATAATCGAGTCTGGACCAGACAATCCAGTGGTCAACAACATGAGCATCGATCTGCGCAATTGGGAACCGATGACATGTGTCAACCAAGCCAGCGAGCCTGACCACCCGATCCCGTTAGTCGCCTCTTACGACAAGCATGGGTTACTGAAGATCAATATTGTAACCCGGACCTTCACGGGTTTACAAATGTGAATGTGAATGAGAGGGTATGTTTTCAGTGCAGAGAGAGAGTTGAGGATGAAAGACACGTTCTGTTGTATTGCCCTGTGTATGGTGATTTGCGTGAAAGTTTATATAAAAATGTCTGTTTTAGCTATCCCTACTTCTTAGATCTGTGATGATAAATTAGTTTTACTTTTTAAACACCGTGCATATTTCAGTGACAAAACCTGCTTTTATATGTTACAAAGAAGAAAACATTTTATATGGACAGATTTTATACTGTATGCAACTATGCCATTACTTCTTCTTAGTGTCTATAATGCATTAATACATTATAATCTCCCATAACCCTTAAACAGTGGCTCACTTATGTTATAAGAATGTTTGTATATGTATCCCTTGCAAAGTGAGACTGAAATAAAATAAAACTCTCTACCTTCCTGCCATATAAGGAATGTAAGCAATTGCTCCATACATCGAAAAACACAATGCCATTTAGAAAGTGGTCAAATGTAACGTTTTAATTGGGATTACACATTCTTAGTAAAGTACAAATTCTAGTACTACATCGAAAAACTGTCGTTGTCGGTGTTGTCGATGTTTGCCGAAGTGGTTTCAATCACAAGTTGTACGTAGAATATTCGTTCAGAGGGTGTACCCCCACTGCGCAGACTTTTCTTAAAACAACATAATGCAGTCACCCGTAGAACAATGTGTGTGTGTGTGTGTGTGTGTGTGTGTGTGAGCGCGTGCGCGTGCGCGTGTGTGTGTGAGCGCGTGCGTGTGTGTGTCTGAGCGTGCGTGTGTGTGTGTGTGTGTGTGTGTGTCTGAGCGTGTGTTAGTGGTGTGGAGTTGGGGGTTCGTTGTAGTCTGTTCCAAGGTAAGTCTGGTGACAATAAACTGGTGAGCACATTTCAGAACAATTTGGTGAACATTAACAAATATCACAGTCATGGTCCAGTTCTTCAAATCGGTAAGAAGCACAGCAAGCTACGCCATTCAGGGAACAAGTATAGAGACGTTAACAGTCGATTTCCCACCCTGAAGGATGATCTCCGGCATGGAAGAAAATCTGTTCTGCAATACCTTGATTGTGTCTCTCATTTAACTGCATTGTGAATTCACAATGGTCAGCAAATGAATAAGTAAAAAGCTGAAAAACGACTGGTGATTCTAACTATGTTGATGACATGTTATTGATGTTACTTATACTGATGTTTCGTAAGATGCATATCACTTGTATGTTGATAAATTATTATTTCAAACTCATCACACTTATGTCTTGCTGAGTTACATACTAATTTATGACTTAAGAGTGAGTGAGTGAGTTTAGTTATGACTTAAGAGTTAGGTAGACTACACTATATAGCACTGCCCACTAGTCTGATACATACTATAGTCTGTTTGCAGTGAAAACGTACCGATGAATTTCGCTTTAAACAAAACAGTCAATCGAATAAAGTGAAAATAAGATTGCGAATCCTCATAATTTTACCTTGCCAATTGAACATTTAAATCTCAGAATTTTATTCAACTTAGGATAAAGGTTGTTTAACAAACGATCATGGTTTCAAACCGCTATTATTGGGTTGTATTACGCGGTGTCAACCTGTTGTCTTGAACTTAAGAAATACAGTTCGCTCTACCACCATGTATAGTGTAATAAAACACACTTTCGTCCTGAACTATTATAGTTAAAGTACGAGGACGCTTGCGTCCGAGTGCTTTAACGTTATAATAGTTCAGGGCGAAAGTGTGCTTTATTACACTATAGTGAGTGAGTGAGTGAGTTTAGTTTTACGCCGCACTCAGCAATATTCCAGCTATATGGCGGCGGTCTGTAAATAATCGAGTCTGGACCAGACAATCCAGTGATCAACAGCATGAGCATCGATCTGCGCAATTGGGAACCGATGACATTTGTCAACCAAGTCAGCGAAACTGACCACCCGATCCCGTTAGTCGCCTCTTACGACAAGATAGTCGCCTTTTTATGGCAAGCACATGGGTTGCTGAAGACCTATTCTACCCCGGATCTTCACGGGTCTTATTACACTATACATGGTGGTAGAGCGAACTGTAGTTCTTTTCTAAGATACCAAATTTAATACTTTCTAAGGATAATTACGATTAATTTAAGGCAGAAAACAAACGACGGTGTCGGTGACCTAAATTAAGAATCCTCGCACAGGGCTAACTGGCGCACGGTTCTAGTGATGTGTCTGCCCCCCTACGTTAAGACGAACGTTACCAAAACAAAAACAAATGATAACGGTTTGATGACGGTTTACGTTCGGATTAAATATCTTCTCTGAATTATTTTAATTAACGTAAACCATATGGGGCAATATGAACGTCGCATTTCTACTACCAACGTAAGTTTAGATCAGTACATCCAGATGAAGCTGAGTAGTCAAGTGACATTCCACGATTGCATTGTGGGAATGTAAACATTGCGAACGTTACCGTGTCGCTGAAAACTTGCGAGTCGAATTGACACATTTTAACCGTCGCAAAACATAAACGCAATGTTTCCACAAGTGATGTTTGCTGCGTGAAGCAACTGCAAACCAAGAAACGGGATGCAACGGAGTAGTTTACTGTAGGAGGCCGTACGAGGCGATGACAACTGACATGCATCGTGACGTCGCTTACGTTGTGACGTAATGTAAAATAGTTCGATTACGAGGGGGCACACTAGAATGGCGCAATGACGGGATAACGTCATTCAATTGTTACGTCATCAAAAAAACTATACCTTTTTTGTCTGATAATGTTTTGTTTTTTTCGATTGTTCTAACCGCTAGGCATCTTAGAATTGCATGTAGCCTTGCTGCCATACCCCAGGTGGAATTTATGATGAATACGCTGACAAAACATGAAGGACCATGAGGCTAAAACATGCCCAATCAAGTGGAATGTACGCACAGTGATTAAAGTTGGTTAGATATAAAAAGATATATTGTTTTGCAACTCATGTCTATTTATGATTACATTTAACTAAATACATGTATGTCGGAGGCGCACGTAGAATCTCCAAAACATGCCCTCAAATCGCCCGAGAAAACACTAAACTGGAATTAGAAGGCAACAATTCCGATGACATAATGCCGTAAACGATTGAAGTACTTGGGATTATTTTTATCAAAGCACCCAATCATTACGCGCGTTCTGATTGGCTTGTATTTTCGCACAAAACCTCTTCTTGGACGTTACAGAAGGGGGGCGAGTGTTGACGACTGCTCAAAGGGACACAACATGTGGTTCGCTTGAAATGATGTTCGACCGGTAGAGGGCGCGAGAATCGACTTAATGCGACGTTGGAGTACTTTTTTCGAACTTTTAATTTAGTACTGTAATTTAAATACGTAACTTACCGTACCAACCATAAATTATTTGGTAGCTTCCCTGAGGGTTGATAGGTAGTATTACTGAGAGAAATGCCTTATTTTTAGAAAAGTGTGGTGTTATATAGTGTTGGGAATTGGTGTAAATCTCATAATTGATGATAGGTTCATTACAACCGATCAATCATCGAAAATAATTGGTTAGCGTCGTTTATCAAATTTTCCTGGTTATGTTTGTTAATGCACAAAAAATAAAGAAAAAACATGTAGTTCTCTCGGGTGTTTTTTCGCAAATTGCACAAAATGCATTTGCAAATTTCACATCTTGAAAGGATGACTAGTGTGTTAGGAACATACATTTCCTGGAGTTGTTAAGATAAACTTAATCATGACTTGGAACGAGCTTGTGTAGTGCTTATGCAATGTCTAGACAAAATCAACCTTTTTGAAAAATATTGTTATTGCAAATAAGTGGTCCAAAATTGTTTGTGTTCGATTATGAGAAAACATGATCGATTGCTTGGTCGTTTTATCAAAGCGACCAATCTTCGATTATTTCAATTAATCGGACCACCACTAGTGTTATATAGTGCTTTTAATGCTCATGTGTATGTGTCTAAAGACAGCCACAATTTAGCCGTGCACAATTCAGTTACAAGAGACATTCAAATGCTAGTGAGCGAGTATGGTTTCAGGCTGCTTATAGAAATATTCCTACAGTATCAGCGCAAGAGACAACAGAAATGGACTTCACACATTGTACCAATGTGGGGAATAAAAGCCAGATCTTCAGCATGACGATCGGACCTTTAATCATTAGGCTACTCATCCCCCTCTCACATTCAAGTGTGCCGTCATACATGACGTAGTTATGGTTAAAAATAACGTCAGTAAAGTTGCCAGTGAACGTGTTTAATGTCAGGTTTCTGACTCAAACTCTGTTTCAATTCCCAGTCAGGTTGGATAATATTGCGTTTCTAGGTTCCATGATGCGTTTCCCGTTTTATTTTGGTCATTTCTTCTTCAGTGACACGGTCCTCTGTTTCGATGTTTAGCTGACATTTTCCTCTGCTTTGCCAGTTATGGGTTTTCCTGGAAAACAGTACATATGATCATCACCAAAGGCTATTTAACAAAAGTTTTCAAATTGGTTTCGTTTGGTATTTTGATGGATAAAACAGGAGATTATGATTACATTAATGCCAAGCGAATTTGCCCCTTGTTAGCCGGTTCAGTAAGTTGGCCCAGAGTGTAAGTTAATTATTAAATTATTAAGTATTAAATGTACACTCGTAGTATAGTATAGTTCGCTAACACATCAGCGTATTGGTTGTGATTCATAAATATGTGCTGATGATAGTCGGAATGGTCTCAATGGAGTGATTATGCGATATGGAATATTTTGATTATGGTATATGGAATATTTTGATTATGGAATATGGAATATTTTGATTATGGTATATGGAATATTTTGATTATGGTATATGGCATATTTTGATTATGGTATATGGAATATTTTGATTATGGTGTATGGAGTGAGTGAGTGACTATGGCTTTACGCCGCTTTTAGCAATATTCCAGCAATATCACGGCGGGGGGAAACCAGAAATGGGCTTCACATATGGAATATTCTGATGATGGAATATGAAATATTTTTATCATAGAAATGGTTCATTTACCACAATGTTTTCGAGCAGATATAAACTGGAGTAGGTTGTGGCATTCCATTAAATGCCCCGCCTTTGTTCATCGACATGGGGTAAGCGCCAACATTCTCCACAAACAACCGGTCCCCGATTTCAAGCTCTGGTAAATGACACTCCTCGAAAAGGATGTCGTCACCTGCACACGTCTGTCCCCAGACACTGGACTTGAAGGTCACCTCACTCCGTGGAGCCTGGAACAGGAATACTGAGTGAGTAAGTTTAGTTTTACTCCGCACCCAGCAATATTCCAGCTATATGGCGGCGGTCTGTAAATAATCGAGTCTGGACCAGACAATCCAGTGATGAACAGCATGAGCATCGATCTGCGCAATTGGGAACCGATGACATGTGTCAACCAAGTAAGCGAGTCTGACCACCTGATCGCGATCCCGTTAGTCACCTCTTACGACAAGCATGGGTTACTGAAGGAACATTCTAACCCGGACCTTCACGGGGACAGGAATATTGAGGAGGTACTTCTTTGTCTATGGATAGTAGAAACACCATGTGCATTAAACGTTGTAATGAAATCCCATATTGAGCTCATATGCACATGCCATTAACCTGTAAATGAAAAATTACAGGCACTGTGTAAAATAAAAGAGGCAAAGCGATCCAGACTGCATTGTACTTTTCTTGTACCTAACAAAACCTCTTTATTACTTTCTCATATGGAGAGCCTACAGTACACGTTGACGCACGTACAGAAGTATCGTGACAAGCATTATTTAATTATTTTCTCATTTGCAGACAGATTGTCTTTGGCATGTATCTGCCTTAGGATCCCCTTGTGTCGTAGTAAATATACTGTTCAGTTGAAGATGTTGCGACTCGATGTCTTTCAGTGGCATTTAGAAGTTGTACATTGAGTGATGTCCAAGATATTTTTATGGATTAAACTTCTTTTTAATTTCTCTCACGACGTTTCGAGACCATTCCAGGTCCCTTTCAGTTCATTTAGAAGTTGTACTGATGGAGGGACCTGGAATTAAACTTTCTGATTTTAAACTTTTTTTTATTCCAGGTCTCGTCACGACGTTTGAGACCATTCCAGGTCCCTTCATCAGGTAAAAATATCTTGGACATGTTGCGACTCGTTACTTTTATCACAGAACAAGGTTCTGTTGAGGTGTTTCACGCCGCTCTCAACATTCCACTGCATGATAGCTGTCAGAAAGTAATGACAAGCCATGACATGAGCATCGATCCACACAGTTGACATGGGTTACAAGGCAGGATCAACACAGTTTGCGAGCTTGTCTACCCGATCCCGTTAGTCGCCTTTTACGACAATGATGGGACAGCTGAGTGCACATTCAAACCCGGGTAATAGGAGGTCATATGGTAAGGAAAGGAAATGGACGTTTGTGACCCCTTAAAATCTTCAAACACTTTAACAATAGTCATGATATAATTTAGAAGAACCGTTATACAGATGTACATATGTTGCGGTGGGACAGCCTACCTTCAGCAACGACGGTTGTTTCGCTCCAGTACAATCCGTGAAGGTGACGTTAAAGGTACCAAAGATACTGTCATTCAGAAAGTACAGGAATTCATTCTCAACTCCATCTGAAGGTATGAATTTTCTTTGTAAGCATTCAGGAAATCGTTCAGTAGATAAGTTATGTTATGTTATGCCATCACCCTTTTCTGAGAAGGGATGCCATGCTGAGACATCTCAGAAATCACCACCCATCACCACCACCCACCACCTCCCCGCCACCAACACCACCCGCCACCACCCGACACCAGTCTGAATTATATGTGATATATGGATGTTTGAAAGCCAGTGTCGAAATAGATTTATCATCCACGACTTTCCAGGTGAAGTCAACAAGGTGAGATCATGGTTTTAGAGTTAAAACTGTTTGCTGGGAACGCTGAAAGTACTCAGTCTGGAAAGAAATAGTACAAGAGGGAGCGACTTAGAATATTCAGATCCTATCCAGATCACTACATCTGTACACTGTATTATACACATCTTCAGAAGGCTCCCTTTGCATTACCCTCATCCAGAGAGCTTAAACACCACGTCGTACACGATACTACATGGCTGCTTGCTTGTTCTTCTAGTAACAGGGAAGTGGATTTAAACCAACGACCACAAGTGTCTGTCACGCCTAAGTGTTTAACAATTATATAATGCGACTTGCCCACTGACACCTGTAAAAAGTGTCCATTAGAAGAGTGAGTGAGTGAGTATGGTTTTAGCAATATTTCAGCAATATTCCAGCAATATCACGGCTGGGGACACCAGAAATGGGCTTCACCCATTGCACCCATGTGGGGAATCGTACCCGGGTTTTCTGCGTGACGAGCGAAAGCTAGGGTACCCCACCGCCCCTCCATTGGAAGAATTCAAGACATTCATACCTTTCGTATAGCGACCTTGCATCACCTTCTTTCCGATAACTGTCAGGACCAGGGTCGCACACGATGACACAAAGTAGCGACCAGGCTCTGCTATTATCCTCACTCCTCTCTTAGCGGGAAAGTGGTCCTCAAGGGCAATGTTGATGAGGCGTGCAACCTGCAAATACCAGTCAACACATGCTGACATCAACCTACAAATACCAGTCAACACACGCTGACCATCAACCTGCAAATACCAGTCAACACACGCTGACCATCAGCCTGCAAATACCAGTCAACACACGCTGACCATCAACCTGCAAATACCAGTCAATACACCATCAACCAGTCAACACACGCTGACCATCAACCTGTCAATACATCGCTGACCATCAAATACCAGTCAACACACGCTGACCATCTGACCTGCAAATACCAGTCAACACAAGCTGACCATCAACCTACCTGCAAATGCAAATACCAGTCAGTCATACGCTGACCATCAACCTGCAAATACCAGTCAACACACGCTGACCATCAACCTGCAAATACCAGTCAACACACGCTGACCATCAACCTGCAAATACCAGTCAACACAAGCTGACCATCAACCCGCAAATACCAGTCAACACACGCTGACCATCAACCTGCAAATACCAGTCAACACACGCTGACCATCAACCCGCAAATACCAGTCAACACACGCTGACCATCAACCTGCAAATACCAGTCAACACACGCTGACCATCAACCTGCAAATACCAGTCAACACACGCTGACCATCAACCTGCAAATACCAGTCAACACACCACAGCCTGACCAGTCAACACACGCTGACCATCAACCCGCAAATACCAGTCAACACACGCTGACCATCAACCTGCAAATACCAGTCAACACAAGCTGACCATCAGTCCTGACCATCAACAAATACCAGTCAACACACCCGCTGACCATCAACCTACAAATACCAGACAACACACGCTGACCATCAACCTACAAATACCAGTCACACGCTGACCATCAACCGCAACACACCCTGACCATCAACCTGCAAATACCAGTCAACACACGCAAATACCCATACCAGACACACGCTGACCATCAACCTGCAAATACCAGTCAACACACGCTGACCATCAACCTACAAATACCAGTCAACACACGCTGATACCAGTCATGACCAACCTACAAATGCCAGTCAACACACGCTGACCATCAACCTGCAAATACCAGCCAACACACGCTGACCATCAACCTGCAAATACCAGTCAACACAAGCTGACCATCAACCTACAAATACCAGTCAACACACGCTGACCATCAACCTGCAAATACCAGACAACACACGCTGGTCATCAACCTACAAATACCAGACAAAACACACGCTGACCATCAACCTGCAAATACCAGCCAACACACGCTGACCATCAACCTGCAAATACCAGTCAACACACGCTGACCATCAACCTGCAAATACCAGTCAACACACGCTGACCATCAACCTGCAAATAAATGCCAGTCAACACACGCTGACCATCAACCTGCAAATACCAGTCAACACACGCTGACCATCAACCTGCAAATACCAGTCAACACACGCTGACCATCAACCTGCAAATGCCAGTCAACACACGCTGACCATCAGCCTGCAAATACCAGTCAACACGCTGACCATCAGCCTGCAAATACCAGTCAACACACGCTGACCATCAACCTACAAATACCAGTCAACACGAATGTACCTTCACGGGTACATGTATTGAGCAAGGGTCGCGTATTTCCCCAAATGTACATCAACATATATTCATGAAGAAGCATAAGAACAAACCTCGTCACAGTCAGGCTTCGAAGCCAATATTTCAGCATGAGTTCAGCACCAGAACAACCAATAAAATAACCTTTCTTTCTGTTTTCCGCCGCTGCTGAGATTGTAATGAGGAGAACAACTTACCTTTGAGTAAAACATATCGTTTGTGAGTGGGGATTAATGATGTTACCATAAAACATCATGTATTTTGCTACTTAGTATGTAATGATGGCAAAAATTAGTTTTGGGGGGTAAAGTATTACTGCTAGCCTGTGGATATTAATTGAGTTACCTCTTTAAATTCCACAGGAGCTCTCTTCTGCCCTAAGAAACCCCCTTCAATATCCAGGACACTCAGAGAAATGTTGAGTTCGGAGGCAATGGCAAAGGCCCTGTCAGCTCTTTCTATGGCATCAATGAACACACGGCCATCCACGACTCCACTTCCAACATGGAAACTGTCAGAAGTATACAATAGCAACTGATATGATTATCGACGAGTGATTTGTTATCTAGTAGCACCTGAAATTTTGTAACTATTATTCAATACCATTCTGATTTAGATAGTTTCAGTGCACAAATGTAATATTTGATTAATGTGAGCTCTAGATTGAAATCGGTTTTCTTACAAACGGTCGAAAAGAGCAAATTGTTCCACAATGGGAAATCATAACATCGAGAATCATGAGAGAGTTTGTGCTTTGTGCTTATCAATTCAAACTGATGTTATAAGGCTTGTAGAGCGTCTACATCAAACAGTAAATGAGTGAGTGAGTTTATTTTTACGCCGCTTTTAGCAATATTCCAGCCACATCACGGCGGGGCCGGACACCAGAAATGGGCTTCACACATTGTACCCATGTGGAAAAGTGACGAGCTTTAACCACTAGGCTACCCCACCGTCCCCAGACAGTAAATGAACCATTCATGACGGTTGTTTCAGTTTTCCAAGGAGATTGTTTGCCATGACACTTTTTACATATGTAACTTCTGGGAAAGGGCGTTCCTAAGTTGGATAACTTGTGCCCAATCCATTTCATTTTCGAATAAAATATGTTTAAAACAAACACATTTTACCACCATCCCTATTGCTTAGAGGCTCAATACTCTCAAACACCAAATTATGTTTTCCAGTTTCCATTATCTATAGAGAGCCGTCTTATACGCTGGAATACTGCGAGTATGGCGCTGAGCAAGAAACAAAAGCTGACCACCATGTATTCTTATTCAACTCTTGGTTATGTACATTCGTAACTACTCGTGTCATTTCGGCAAGCCGGATAGCGTCTCGTACCCCTCTCGTGGCCATGTTTACGACTGGGCCCTGTCTAAGCGCAAACGGGCATGGAGATGAAAATAGTCTAGTACTATTGCCAAGGAAAGATAACTCTGAATTTCCAAACATGGCTCCTAGAATATCCCATATCCCGTGGGCAAAACAGCGATACAGTCATTCCCTTTGTAAATATATTTCAGTGTTTAAAATTTCTGATCCTTTAGCTCAAAGTTTCTATTTAAATTGTGCTTTGCATAGTTTAGCGAAGTTTCAAACTTCAACGGTGCCGCCATTTTCATGCTTCGAAATGCGTTTTACTACGCGCGATTTGATTGGTTTGCCACGATTCTTAGCACTAATGGCGTACGATAGGGGGTACGAGTCTTCTTGTAGGTCACGGAAAGAGGCGAGTAGTTACGAATGGGTTATGTAATGTTGTAAGAAATGGACTATCATACATCAAATTAAAGGAACGAAGTACAAAGCATAAGTATCCTTGTCCATGTTTTATCAGCAGATTAGCATGACGTCAGATCAAAGAACTTTCCAGAAAAATAGGGACAGTACCTGATCCCCACCACATTCAGTTCCATTCTCTTAGCGGCTGCAAGAAGAGGCCGGACCTGGTGCTGTTCACATCCATACTGGATGCTTAACCGATGCTGCACGTCATATTTATCTGACGGTTTTATTCTCAGCAACAATCTGAATGGTTAAAATAAAAACAAAATTACTGACTAAAACAGGAAGAACTCCAAACTACTTATCCTGCCTGGGACAGAATACGTCTATTTGAGTTTATTCTTTCTCATTCTGCAGGAACAGATTAGTTGTTTTTTGTTTTATTTTTGTGTTTTTGAAATGCGGACTTTAAACTAGGGGATGAGTATGTGCAAAGAGTAACAAGGAATTTCAATAATTTTACTATAATTGAGCCTGGCAGTTAACAAACAATGCGAGCCGTTATTCAGAAACACGCAGGAATTGTCTCAAACTCCTCAGACAAATTTCTGCAAAGCACTGAAATTGAATATGTTATTGCAACACTAAATGTCCTATGCGATTATATCATTTTATGAAGCATACCTATCTAGGAGTGTATGGTATTCTTCTATTATATTTCCGCTGTCATGAGCCCCAGAGTGAGGATGAATATCTGTACGTAACAGAACCTTTGAAAGTCTCCAGAGTGAGTGAGTGGGTTTAGATTTACGCTGCACTCGGCAATATTCCAGCTATATGGCGGCGGTCAGTAAATAATCGAGTCTGGACCAGACAATCCAGTGATCAACAGCATGAGCATCGATCTGCGCAATTGGGAACCGATGACATGTGTCAACCAAGTCAGCGAGCCTGACCACCCGATCCCGTTAGTCGCCTCTTGCGACAAGCATGGGTTGCTGAAGGCACATTCTAACCCGGACCTTCACGGGTTGAAAGTCTCCAGACACAGTTGGGATGCACGCTCTACTGACGCTTCCACCTCAAAACAACTATGACCTGTCTACATAGCGATCACATACGTCTACTGTTAAGTAAGACAATATTTTGTATCAAAGTGATGCCCTGCTTCATCCGACCCCAGTGAAGGTTCTGGAAATGGTACGTGCATATTGGAAAGTTACAAATGACAAATGGAACAAGCAACTTGTTGAGGGCCTTGTGCACCATGTGCCATGGAACAACTGGTGATGTCAGATTTCTGTGGGAGACAAACCGCCACCTCACAGGAATGCACAAGGTGTGTATATATATATGTTTAAACGGAATGAGATATGGTACACCGTTTAGCAGAAACGGTGTCTCAAATAAATGACATTAATTAATTTCACACGGGACATCTTCAATCAGATACATCTCACTAAAGTTGTTTAATGTATGCACACATCCCAACCACAAACTCTGATTCCCCGCCATTCAAATTATTTAAAATGTTATGTGCTGTGAGGCAGTGAAGCGCCATTTAAGACAACTAGTTATGTTTTTATATTTGTCATAATTACAGGTAATGTACCTTGCGTGGGGATGAGTTGACTTTATTTTGATGAGTTCATGCTCGCTGTCAAACAACTAGTTATGTCTGTATATGTGTCATAATTACAGGTAATTTACCTTGCGTGGGGATGAGTTGACTTTATTTTGATGAGTTCATGCTCGCTGTCAAATGCCATCAAATCAACACCAGCAGCCGCCGCATATCTGATGTCTCTACGGCATTTGACACTGTGGGAGTAGACGATGTTGCATGGCTCCACGCCCAAACCAAGAATAGAGGCCATTTCATTCTGAAGGAAAATATAAATATACAATTGACTGATCAAACCTTGCACCCATTCAGTTAAAGATTAATTTAATTTATAGAAGGTGTATCATTGCCAATGATAATTTTCGATATTACATTAAACAAATAAAGGATTGCAAATCAACACACTTCACTTCCAGAAGGTGCCAACAAGCCTTCCTCTTTTGGTAAGTTACTGACATTGGAGATGTAATGTCCCTACCCTGCTGGCACAGTCAAAGTAGACACCGAGGTCAGTTAAGAGAGAGAGGATCTGAGGGTCGTTGTTGCACTTGACAGCTGAAATACAAAAATTGCGACACTCTTATAACGTATTGCGAAGTACCCAATACATGTAGGCATTCATCTTTGTATGGTAGTCGCTGAAAACGGAGAGGTGTACATATGCTGACCTATTATTGTTAAAGGTTATACTCAAAGCGAGTGAGTGAGGAGTTAGGTTTTACGCCGCTTTTAGCAATATTCCAGCAATATCACGGCGAGGAACACCAGAAATGGGCTTCACACATTGTACCCATGTGGGGAATCGAACCCGGGTTTTCATTGTAACGAGCGAACGCTTTAACCATTAGGCTACGCTACCGCCCCGGGTATAAACACAAACACGTACATGATCAGTGAGTGAGTGAGCAAGGTTTAACCCCACTTTGAAGAGACTTCCTGTTCTATCACCACATCTTAATTGGTGTGCTTCATGTTGACAGAAAGCCCGAAGTGATGTTTTCTCAGACGTTAAAAATGTGCCACTTTGGTAAATCGACGACAACGGAAATGGTGATAACATAAAAACATAAGCGGGGCGAACCGGAATTATGAAAAAGACGAAAGATTTCCATGCTGCAGACGACTGGGCAACAGATTTTAAGTTGCCTATCTCAAGAAAGCAGTGACAATGTTATAGTTACGTTATGATCAACTATTGGGGACCAGAGTGAAATTGCTATGGGCGTTGCATTCAAAAGGTGTTCACTTATGCACGGAGGTGGATTGGTGGCTCCTTGTCTGGCCTCGGAGTTTACAGGGCAGCCCTGCTGAGATACTGGGTAACACCAAGATAAGAGGGGCAAGGATTAGGATGGGAATCGGACCAAATATCTAACTTCCACTCTTGAGGCAGACAATAGAAGGATGACATGTTTACAAATGTTACTGCTAAACAGTAAGTATTGTTATAGTGACAAAGCCATTTCCACAATCGCCATACTTCCCTGTGTTCACCCCCAGCTGTTAGACCTGTGAAACACAAACTTGATATACCCATCCTTGTAACAGACTGTATGTTTATCGCAGTTCTTCCTACTATTCCAGCTATATATAAATAATTGAGACTTGAACAGACAATCCAGTATTTCAGATAAGGAACAAACTTTATGGATGAACAACTTTATTCGGAAGATGCCGAATAAAGAAGTTGTTCATCCATAAAGTTTGTTCCTTATCTGATACACCAACTTCTAAACATGCCTCTCAAAGAAGTAATCCAGTATTTGACATCATGACTGACTGACTGACTGAGTTTAGTTTTACGCCGCTTTTAGCAATATTCCAGCAATATCACGGCGGGGGGACACCAGAAATGGGCTTAACACATTGTGCCCATGTGGGGAATCGAACCCGGGTCTTCGGCGTGACGAGCCAACGCTTTAACCACTAGGCTACCCCACCGCCCCTTGACATCATGAACATCGATCTACGCATCTTGAATATGATGACGTGTCTACCAAGCGCCAACCGATTCGGGTTGCTTAAGACCAATTCTAACTCGGCTGTTCACGGGTCCATAAACTATTGTTACAAAATAACCAGTCTGTTTGGATCAAACTGATACCGATAAATCACAATCTAACTCCAAATCGGTTTATGATCAAACATTCATTTCAACGCAGAATGTAATGAAAACATTAGACCAACTCTGGAAAAAGGATGGATAACATTTGTCTCTAAAATGAAAGTTACTTAACAAACTATGATCATTTTGTTTTGATTTTCCGTTGGAAGTTTACAGTTGCAGGAACAGCCTGAATGGCGGAAAGCACGTGCAATTGTGACGTCTCATCAAGTACAGCCAATTGACACGGTACATGAGACAATGAAATCCTCCTCTGACATCAAGTCGATTATTTTCAAAAAAGATTTTTTTAAACGTGAAATGAAAGGGGTCGCACCTTAAATAAATAAATTGTAAATTTGTAAAAAACGCACTGCATGTGCGGCTGAGTTGACAGACTTGAGTGTTTTCAGAAAGAGTTATTAAGAAATGCTGTTAGAAGACTCTATAGCAAAAGTAAATTCCTTCCTTACGCATTTAGCATAAATACACGGTGTCAGAACATCCGTTGACTATATCCGAATATCAGCTATGGAAACTTTTGCATATTTGGGTTTCGTTACAAAAAGGTAAGTGGGGCAAATAGGCGGGTGCTATGTGAAAGAGCTGGCATCGTGCGACTACGCAACACATACTAACGCACTATCACACAAAACGTCAAGAAGGATTCGAACCATGGCCAGTGTTTTGGGATGGAAATCGGGTGAACGCCAGCCAGACTGCAAGCACACCATGGGTAGATAGCTCCTCTATGGAACCATGTAACAGGAAATTGCCTTTGGGCAAGGGTGAGCGATTCATTGTGTTATACGCAGGTTGTAAATGTGTGGGGCTTCTGTCTGATTGTTCACTCGTGTACAAGGCGAAATCCAAAAACAGAGATTACCACACTGAAATGAATGGGGAAGATTTCTGAAATTGGGTGAAAAAACAGCTGGTACCAACACTTCCTCAGAAAAGTTCAATTGTTATGGACAACGCACCATATCATAGCGTGCAGGATCCAAATGCAAAAAAATAATGATAATAGTGGATATTTGTAAAGAGCCAGTGTCCACCCACTCATGCGTGCTAATGGCGCATTAAAACTATTTACAGAAGAAGGGAAAATGTCAACTATAGGCTTTAGTAAAAAAAATGTCTTTAGGGCCTTCTTAAAAGAGAGTCCAGGGTCGGGGCGAGTTTGATTTGGAGCGGTAGAGACTTCCATAAGAGACATGCTGAAAACTCCTCTTTCCAAAAGAGGTGAGCCGAGCTTGAGGTACTTTGAGGAGCTGTTTATCCTGGGAACGTAGAGTTCTGGAAGGCACATACTGGGTTAGGAGAGATGAGAGATATGTAGGGGCAAGGTTGTTGAGACACCTAAAGACTGTTCACAGAACTTTGAAGTCAACTCGGTACTGAACAGGAAGCCAGTGCAAAGACTTTATCACAGGGGTTATATGATCATATTTAGAACTCAAAGATATAATTCTAGCGGCTGTATTCTGCACTTTCTGGATTTTTTTCATGTGCTCTTTGGATATTCCAGTGAGAAGGCTATTGCAGTAGTCTAGGCGGGAAGACACAAGACATCTGACCAGGATATATGCGCTCTCTTTAGTGATGTATTTTCGGATGGTACCAATGGAACGAATGTGAAAGTAGCATGTCTTACACAGATGATCCACAAAAGCTCCAACATCCAACAGCAGGAAAAGTGATATGGTAACAAGTCAAGAAAAAACAAGATATTCCGTTTCCATCAAAAGCAACTAAACCTGTTTTGTATGACATAATAAAAGGCAACAAAACACCAATCCATTAGGTAGATCAATAAAGCTCATGGCCATGAAACCAACAGAACTGATCTGGGGATCTCAAAATCTGATGTGGGCCGCAACAAACCCACGTTCAAAATTTCGGACTTTCAAAACGAAGAACGCCAGCAATCTGTCAAAACTGTGTACAGAAAGTTGAAAATAAAATGACCAGTACTGGATGAAAAGTGGTTTAGATTATGCCAACATTCAAACAGTCATCATAAGTGTACAATCTGAGGGTATGACGGGAAAGTGAATCAGGAATTTCCTCAGATTCCAGTAAGGAAGAGTTTTGATACAACCCCTAAATTTTTACATTCTGCTAAGCTGCACGTGCTTCCTGCCCTTTAGGGTGTTCTTGCAACTGTTACTTTACCCTCTTAAATCTCCCACGGAAAATCAAAACAAAATGATAGTTTGTTAAGTAACTTTTGTATTTGGAGACAAACGTTATGAATACTATTTCCAGAGTTGGTCTGATGTGATCATTACATTCTGCGTTGAAATAAAAGTTTCATCATGAACCGATTTGGAGTTATATTCAGATACATCGGTATCATTTTGCCCTAGACTACAGCTGTATCGGAAGTTTGTGCATGTGCAGTTTTAAACACACTGATATATGTCGTTTACCTCTCGGAGTAGAAAGTAAACATTGATGAACAAAGTTAAAGTCAGCTGGACAAAAGGAATGGAATACAGTATATATTGTTGAGGACTAAGCTTTCGTACAGAGGACATGCTTTAACTGATATGATGTAGTCGCAATCGTCCAATTAATTCTGCATTTTTTTAGACAATTCTTATGACAAATGTGATGATTCCGTTGCTTATATTTATCGTTAAATACTTATAGTATACTTACAACAGCTCTACGTACCGTAGTATGGCTTCACCCTGGGTAGATACCTGCGCCATTGTCTCATCTTTCTGATGACATCATCCATATCAATGGTGATGAAGGCGTCTTCAAAGTATTCATCCTGTAGAGGAAATATTTCACAAATATGTTCTGCTTGTGATTAAACTGCGTTAGAATAATTGTTAACAACCCCAATGATATTGAGTGAGCTTAGTTTTACGCCGCACTAAGCACTATTCCAGCTATATGGCGGCGGTCTGTAAATAATCGAGTCTGGACCAGACAATCCAGTGGTCAACAGCATGAGCATCGATCTGCGCAAGTGGGAACCGATGACATGTGTCGACCAAGTCAGCGAGCCTGACTAATCGATCCCGTTTGTCGCCTCTTACGACAAGCATGGGTTACTGAAGATCAATACTAACCCGGATCTTCACGGGTCCTTAATAATAGTGAACAGTCACTGCAGTGTTGATATGCTACTCTTATTAGGCCGATTTAGTTTCTGATCAAGCATAGCCGAAATTCCATTATGTATTCATGTAGACAAAATATAGGCCTTTGTGACAAAGGGTTGAGAATACCTTTTCCGTTTCCTTTGATATAACACTGCTGATTTTGTCTTTGATGCCGTCCCCATCTTCGTACAGTATCACACCTTCCATACCTGCAACTAGCGCCTTCCTGGATGTAAGCAAAACAGTATTTAGCTCTTGTGTCATTTCCGTCACATCATCGGCGTGACGAGCGAACGCTTTAACGAGAACACTACCCACTAAGTGGAAGACCAACGTCTTATCACATTCATTATACATGATATACAGAAAGGTGTAGCAGATATTCTAATAAATCCATTCTATGAAGGCATGTATTTGGGAATCGAACTCAGGTCGTCGGGGTGACCAGCGAATTTTTCAACTATAATGATAATGAGTGTAAATATACTCAGAGGCCAAACTTATTCTGACACACAAACAAAAGACAGAATGAGTGTTGAACTTTTACTGACTCGACTGAAATGTTATTAGATAGAAAGACTATTGTAACTATCAACAGTCCATAAGGACCGCGCACCTGGTATAGTCCGTTTGGCTCAAAAGCGGACCGATGAATTGCAATCTAACTTGAAAGCTAATAAACATATAATATTCAATGAAACACTGATCATAATCAAAACGTCAGACAAACTGAGGTTTTTTGCAGAATTTATGTCCTTAAAATAAAAAAGTTGTTTAACAAACTTTCATGAAAATATTGACACAGTTCACTATTTGTTACGAGGGAGGAGTGCAGAGAAAGGGACAGCCATGTGTGCGAGAAAGGATGGAGACGGCACAGCACAGGTTAATGAATCAATAGCTTTGTCGGAACTTGTGCACCTGCTTCTCTATCACCTGGCTGTCCCTGTCTCTGCACTCTTCCCTCGTAACAAATAATGAAATGTGTCAAAATTTTAATGATAGCTTGTTAAACAACTTTTTTTTAATTTTAGGCCATAAATTCTGCAAACGAATCACAGAGTTGGTCTGACGTTTTGATTATGATCAGCGTTTCACTGAGTGTTATATATTTATTAGGTTTCGAGTTAGATTGCAATTCATCGGTCCGATTTTGAGCCAAACGGACTATATATGCAAATAAGTCACACCACAAGAACTGGTTCACAAGCAAGTTCACACTGTCTGTAGCGAGTGTATTGACCTTGTGCATTGATGCCTGGCACCTTCGCCTCAGTGAAACCACAACATGTCTTCTTGCAGGAGACTATTCCACAGAGGCAAGTTTGGCGTAGTTTCTGTGGCAGTTGGGAGGATTCGGATCGTACCATTTCGTACTGGAAGTGATCAAAGGGTGACAAATCAGGGAATCGTGCGGGCCAGGGCGACACAAACATTGTCCTGATTATGATATTGCTGTACACCGTCACCTCGTTGCATTTAAGTTCACGCCAATCAAAATCATTGGCGTCCTTACTGCAGCTGTTATCCCACCCAGGGGCCGATACAGCTTTTTGAGAAAGGGGGGTTGCGTACTCTTGAGAAAGAGGGGGTGCACGTTTGCACTTAATTTTCAATGGTCATTTAATAAACTTTCCAGAACGCATCGCCTGAGGTAATGTTCACCTGTTCGTCTGTAGACACGTGACCTGACATCAGGAAACGCGACTCATAGGTGAAGAGAACCCAGTCCGCACACTAGTCTCCTGAACAGTGGAAAGTTCGACGCTGATGTTCTGACGTCCGAGTTGATAGCAGGGCTTCGCATCTTGCACAGATGCCGTGGACGCGTCGACATCGTCCAACTGTTCTTGCAGCTACACCTCTGTTACCTGGTATGGATGTAAGGGCTGCTGGCTGTGTGGTTCGAATCCATGGGTCCAGGTATGGGGTCGTTACTTCTGCTCGGCCACTACGGGGACGGTCTGTAACGTTGTTTTTGCTAAAATTGTCGCCATAGGTTCAAAATGGTATCTCAAATCACGTTGAACCGACAAGCAATGCCATGCTGCGGTGTACCACACTGTGAGTGAGTAAGTTTACTTTTACGCCGCAATATCACGGCGGGGAACACCAGAAATGGGCTTCATACACTGTACCTTGTACCATACTGAATGATACCTGTAGTTCTCCAGGCGAGTGAGTGAGTTTAGTTTTACGCCGCACTCAGCAATATTCCAGTCATATTGCGGTGATCTGTAAATAATCGAGTCTGGACCAGACAATCCAGTCATCAACTGCAGATTCACAGGAGAACATGTGAACGTACGGGAAAGCCGAACATAACTATAAGCAGTAACGGGTAAATATAACACTGATTGGTCTATTGGAAGGATATCCCGTGAAAAAAGCCTTGCAGTAGCCAATCAGAATGAAGGGTCTGATGCAGCATGAGCATCGATTTACGCAACCAAGACAACGAGCCTGGTTACCTCTTACGACAAGCATGGGTTACTAAAGATCAATATTCTAACCCAGATCTTCACGGGTTCTCTCCAGGCGATCTGTCATTTTCCTCGAGATATGAAATGTCGAAGCGATATTTGTCCAGAACGATCAACAGGCGTTTTTCTGACTTCTGTACTTCTTAAGACTGCATTGAGTGGGCATGCTAGACGTGTGATTGTCTGGACTTTGAAAGAGAACATTGCTGGTCACTTGTCTCGAATGTCATGAATCTTGCAAATTTCGTGCAATTCGAACAGCTGCTGGCTCGCGTTTCTTCGACCATTTTAACACACTCTTTCTCTGGTTCAAATCCAAACAGAAGACTAAGTCATCAATATCCCCCGCAACGGCAAGATACACTTTATGAATATGTCTACAAGTTATGATCAGTCAAATGTTTTGAAGTGTAATCAGTGTATATAGCAAAGTGGAAGGAGAGTATTGACGGGTTTTTAAGATCTGCTCCAGAAAGGAGCACTACCAAATTCAGTTCAAGCCTAACTTGTTGCCATGGAAATTCAACAAGATGTCATTCTCATTGCCACAGCCTAAGTCACGTTTCCAGGGAAAGAGCAAAAACTAAAATACATATCTGGGTCTAAACCTCAAAAGGCACATCTATGGCTCATGCTTGACATGTGTACCAGGTTTGGTTAAGCTATCACGAATCATTTAGCAGATATGCTTCGGACAGTGTGACGGACGGAGTGACAGACGCGGGGAATAAAAAGACGTTCACAAGATTATCAATGAAAAGACTCCATGTCACAAATTAGTTTGACTCTGTGCATATACAAATGACCTCATTGGTAAGTATAGTTTGTAAGGAACGTGTAATTATGTATTATCCATCGACAGTATCTATAAAGTATGTGTAACGTTGCCCTCTTCCGTCATTGCAATGCAAAATTGTGAAGATCAATATGTCTGTCACATAACATTTTGGGTCGACACCGGTTATCAATGCATGCAACTGGTAAAATGCATTGTGCTTGATTTAATAATGGAACTTAACATATACTGATACTCCACATAGAAAACGGAGCTTGTGAAATCGGCAACAGTGTAATCACCCCGGCTGACGTCCGTGAACCTGGACGACATTACATAAGCGAAATACATAATGCCATGCACGACAGTACCTGAACGGCTCTACTGCCATAAGGACCGCCTCCGTGATGTAGTGGTTAGAGCGTCCGCCCGGAGAGCGGAAGGTCGTGGGTTCGATCCCCGACCGCGTCATACCAAAAGACGTTAAAATATGGTACTTGTTGGTCCCTGCCTGGTGCTCGGCATTAATGGGTACAACAAGGACTGGTCGGCTCGGAATCAGTATAATGTGTCTGAGTGGGGTATTCATGCTTCACTGCGGCATGGTATCTCAGTGGGCTAGCACTATAAAACCAGCTTAAGTCTGGGTTAGTACAAGCAGCCGCACATACACATACACACGCATGCACGTCGTCATATGAGCGAAATATTCTCAAGTACGACGTAAAACCCAATTTCACCTCACCTCACCTCTACTGCCATAACATGTGTTGTGTTGCCTGCATTTAACCTTCTTCAAAACATCTTCTGTGTTGATCATTACATAACAGAGCTTTAAATCATTATATAACATAGCTTCATATATCATATAACATAGCTTTTGAAAACCCTATACCCCGCCGTACTGGAATATTGCTAAAAGCGGCGTAAAACTAAACTCTCACTCACTCTCACTCAAATTTCATTTGCAGGTGGATTTCGAAAATGTTAAAGTCTAACTTTTCTCTTTCGTGCCATTTGACACAATAACGCTATTTTGGGTGAAAAACATACCCTCGTCGTCTGACATTCTCAGTGACGTCTCTCTGTCGGAACGTGGTTTGAATGCCATGTGCTTCTTGTCACGTGACTGTATCGGTATTTGCACGTGCGGATCGCACCTCGGGCATTTAGAGCAGTGACGCCCGTACACTGTAACATCTCTCCCTATACAGCACACGGTCGCGCAGAAACCCTTTTTAAATTTAATTCACACTCAGATGGTGAATTTATGATTTTCCATCACGCTACGGTACAAAATTATTGTGACGGTTGATACATTGTACATGCTTCTCCATGAAAATCACAATCACCCCCTAGCCATAAATTATGAACGGTCCCAAGGACCATGTTTAAACAGCCTGCATGGCATTGCCATGAGTTTGACACAACAAGAAGCTTAATCGAATAACCCCTTCCTTTACGGTTATTACGTATGATGTGTCAAGTGTTTTTGTTTTTTTGTATTTCTAAAAAGGTTGTTAATACTCTTGTATAAAAATATATGTCATTTAAGTAGTGGTTCTTTTATTCCGATGTGTATATGCCTCACTTGCGCGTCGATTCAGAAGTATATCCCATAACTGTAACTAACTTCAGCAACAAGAACTATTTTCAGCAAAATAAAACAGTATATATCACTGGTACAGACGTGATGCAGTGGACGCCGCAGACAATGGTTTTAAATGTAAAAAAAACTCTCACTTCACACAGTTGCCCAACAGTTTTGAAGGATATAATCCAGTTGTTATATCAGCTAACCGATTTATTTTCTCACATTAATTTCAGAATCCCCGAGTCAAATGCGATACATTTTCCGTTTTCGGTCATAAAATGTAATGAACCATGCACATCTCATCAATGTAAACATGTTTTCATTCTTGGGTAAGAGAGTGTAATCAGCCCCGCGCACACGGCTGTTAGCATGTTGCTTTCGTAGGTGTAATGACGTCACAATATGGTATGACGTCATAGTTGACTATTGTTCAAGTTGTCTATTGATGCTCAGTTCTGTCGCGCCTGGAATCAATACTTGTAACTTTTATGACATCATAAGAATAGTTTGCATGTTGTAAACACTTGGACACACGTTAGTTGAAAATACGAAGACAGTCACATTGACGTGGTCTTAGGCCTAATCACAAATATATTTTACGACCGATTTGATTGATAACTCAACTTACATGAGCCAAACGACCTCTTCATATGGCCGAACAAGACACCTCTCTTGATGCTTCAAGCTCTGGCAAAATATTTTCTTTCACCTTGGCAATATACACAGACACCTTTTTGTAGCGGATACATTTTCAAAGTAATTCTAGACAATCCAACACTCAGCACATACCGTTATTTAGAACCATGACCTGTGCTAAGGCAAATGTGGGTTCATGGTTTGCCCTCATTAGACCCAGGTTTCATTCCCCACATCTGTACAATGTGTGATATTGCTGAAATGTTGCTTAAAAAGCGGCGTAAACCCCAACTCACTCACTCACTCACTGCAAACACTGAAAACTAGAGGTCCAGTCGTCGAAGGCTGTATACATGAGATTTGCCCTTTTAACAGCTGTGGGTTCATATGCCTTTCTTTCATAAAATTGAAAATCACAAAGAACTGTAATTGTTAACTGTTTATTTACTAGGGCTGCGCAATATAACCGGTTTACCGGTATTTACCGGTTCAGACATGAAAGCGATACGTATTGCGATACGCTGATCGAAAACCGGTATTTTGACTTGCATTCAGAAAACTTCGTAACGCTCGGAAATCTTCGGATATTTCGTTGTTTCATTGGTGCCAAATATTATTTACATTTATATTTTGTCATGATTAAAAGTTTCTAATAAAGCTTAATCAAGCATTGTGACTTTGTTGTGTTCATGCTTTATAAATCAAGCATTAACACGACTATACGTTGTTTAAAAATACTTCTTGCAATATATCGCAATATGAAAATTCTCTGCAATACCCACCCCTATTATTTACCCCCATCTGTACTGACTGACTGACTGACTGACTGAGTTTGGTTTTACGCCGCTTTTAGCAATATTCCAGCAATATCACGGCGGTCCCCCATCTGTAGGGATAGCTGTGAAATAGAGATTATTAACCGAGTGTGTTTCCGTATCATGAATATCATATATTAAGAATAAAAATTGTGTTATGCGAGCCTTTGCACCGATAACACCCTCCATTAGATGATAAACATGTTTATTAAAATGCTACCTGTTCTTGTTAACTGTTTATTTACCCCCAACTGTAGGGATAGCTGTGAAACAAGGTTATAAATATACTCCCCATCAAAAGTGTAGACTCACTAGTGTAAATGTAGCCACTTACTTCAGTCAACTGTTCCAAATTAGATTTTGCAAATTATTCCATGTTGTTTAAAGGTACTGTTTACATATGAACTGATGTATTGTAACACAAATTCGTAACGTTGAAAAGATTATTGTCATGAGTTCAATAAATCATGAAACTCAGTGAAAATTAGCGAATTCTTACACTAAAACGCAGCTGTTCACATGCACGATATTTGCACATGCTTTTCAGCAATTTGAAGCATGATCCTCATGCAATTCATCTGCATAAGGTTTGCAGTTGGTTCCCCAAAATTAGGGGAGAAATTCATCTTCAATGTAACCACATACATATTATACATAACATATAGTGAATGCTTTAAGTGAGTCTAAACATTTGGTGGGTAGTATATGTTCACCTGTCACGCTAATTACCTGTGTCCCGTTCTCCAACTGCCAAAGAGGGATTCTCAGTCTTACAGTCCATCTCTGCAATACGTGTCACTAAATCTAGGCTAACTACAACGCTAACGCCATGAGCGACATGCAGATGTGTATTTTGTGGACAGCAGACAGAGCATTCAGTGTGTGCTGTGAACGATTCAGTATATTCATAGCCTAGATATAATCTAGGTTGACAAAGTTTAAATCCTATCCTCCAAGAATCAACGAATTACGTAGAGAAAACCTTTGGAAGCAATCGAAATCCGGGGCCAAAAATATTTGATCAAAGACCAAGGCTACCACATAACATCGGCCAACTAACAGTTAATCAAGCTATAGACTATCAATTAGCACTCTAGTCAGCTTGTTTTTGGTAGTTAGTCCCTCCTATTTACTGGTTTCCTGTCCTGCGCTATTTGTTGTACATGTACTTACCGGCCACTTGGCCTCATCCAATTCCCACTTCATGTCAATTACATCATGTTGTTGTTAATGTTAATCTGGTGTTTGTCAAAACACGCTATCTATACAGTACAACCAGAAATTATTGAGAATTTAAAGATTGTAATTTTTTATATTTTTTCACTCATTACTCACGTTTTAAATGTGAATATTAGCAGAACATAACTCCAGATTCAAAGACAGGTGAACAGTTAGTATTTTGTCAAGTCACCATGGGCAGCAATGCAGGCTTCAATGCGGCGGGGCATACTACTGATCAAAGAAGTTAGAAAGTCGTGGTCCATGCTGTCCCAATATCGGACCACCTCTTCTTTCATTTCAGCAATATTTGTCAGATTTTTCTTATTGACACTTTCCTTCATAAGTCCCCAAACATTTTCTATTGGATTTAGGTCAGGGCTATAGCTTGGCCAATCTAATAATGTCATATTTTGGGTCCGAAACCAGGCCTGTGAATGCTTTGAACGATGTTTTGGGTCGTTGTCCTGCTGGAAAATCCAAACATTTCCATAGAACAAATGAGCAGATGGAAGTAAATGTCCCTCGAGAATATCTGTGTACCGCTCACTGTTCATATTCACTTATAATACACAGAGGGGCGTTGCCCTAACACAGATATGCCACCCCACACGTTAAATTTCGGACTGTACTTTGGGCGCTAAAACAAAGATTTTTCAGTTTGTTTGGTCCAGAATTTCAGTGTATTAGGAAACAGCCACACAGAACTTTCATCTGAGAAAATCACATTGTCCCAGTTAAAATTTCTATGCTGTAAGCACCAGTTCAACCTTCGCTCCTTTTGTTCAGGTTTCATGAACGGTGATGGAATTCCTCGACTTTTCTGCCAACCCATTGCATGCAGCTCAGTTCTAAGTGTCTCCTTACAGACAGCCACAGTTCCTCTATCAATCATATCCAGCCTTAAGTTTTCTAAACTCCTTCGTTTGTTTTTAGAAACAAGAATACCAAGCAGCCTCCTGTCACCGACAGTCAATTTTCTGGGCCTACCTGCGCCTCCTTGGTGCTCAATGCCATATCCATTTGCAATATTTTTCAAAACACGATAAACAGTGGACAAAGAGATGCCTGTTCTACTTGAAATCACTTTAGCTGATCTGATGTCCTTGTTATAATTCTCTAAAATCAACTTCCTCTTCTCTAAATCATCCATACTGAGGATCACTGAAAATGTCATCTGCTAGCATGTAAATAAAGGGGGATAACTCTTCACAAACTAATGAAAAAGGATTAACGGAGTTGTCTCTCTTGAATGAAACCAAGCACTTGATAGCTGGTCAAGGTTGTTTATACTAGAAATCCAATTAAACATATTCCTAAAATTCTCAACAATTTCTGGTCATACTATATAGAGATTACTAAACGAGTGTCTGTCAGATACCATTTATCTTACAACGAGTTGGTTCAATACGTTTTGAAGCAACGAATTGTAAGATAAATGGTATCTGAAAGACACGAGTACAGTAATCTGTTTCTTACACACCATAAAATCGTATCATTTTATGGTCGAATAGATTCAAATTTCATGTTTTCTAATCGTGCGCAATAATACACAAAACACAACGTTTATGAATGAGTGACGTCACTTGGCTTCCTAATCACTACTCATCCCCATGGTGACCCTCCACAAAAAGGTTTCTGCCACCTCTTCGCATCATCAAGGCAATGGTGATAATGATAACTAGGTAAGATCACTGAAAATTAATTAAACCCTCTAAAACGATGATGTTACCATGCAAATGTGGATGATTTTAATTCTTGCAAGCGTAAAATATTTGAGCGTGTGACGTCATCGTTATCGCTTGGTGGTTGTCGTCATCATCGGAAGATTGTTTTGGATATCTCTGCACATTGGGGATCTGTACTTGTGTACCAGTTTACGTTCAATGTTCTACCATCGACCGGAGCCAAAAGTTTTGAGTGTGTCTAATTAGGTGCACCCAGTGTGCTTGAATGTGACATTGCTGAGGTTACGTTCACTGTCAATGGGGGACTACTCTTCTTCGCCACATCCTTCTCGTTTTCCCGAGCCAGAAACTGCCACTTGGAATGTAATGGAATTTACGGAGTTTTCAGTATGAAATGTGAGTTGATTACATCCTGTAAGTTATCAAGACATAAACTTTTCATTATCATGCGTCGGAGGAATATCTTGAGCAATGACTTATGTGTAGATCAACCGTTCCTGTATATGTTCGATTGAACAGAAAGGACGTGTGCCGCCATTTGCACTCATGAAGCCTTGCAAAACGTACCATGTTGTACATTGTTTCAACGAGTGTGTTTTGGTTCAGATTGTCATGAGTGAATTTGATAACATTGGAATCACATAGTATCTCGGAGCTGGAAGTGGGTCTCCATCATGTGTATCAGTGAAAAATGTCATGTTCATCAATGCATCGAAGAAACAACAAGGCAAATTGATCTCTTGACAGGCACTGACGTTATCGTGTCAGGTATTTTTGCAAGACGACACATGACACTTGTCGCATCTCTCCAGTAAAAGTACCAGTGTTGTACATTTTGAATATTCGAAGGGAATCAAGGGCTTTATCTCTAACGGTGATTTTCACATAATTGTTTACACAGGTATCACAGATTGTTGGAGCCATTTTGAATTCATGACTAGAAATCAAAAGTTTTAAAAAAAGGAATTAGAAAATAAATAGATTTGTGTTATATTTATTCTACTTGTCACTCATTGTATAAATACCTGTTTATGTTGCAATCGCGAAAATAACAGGTAGGTGTAAAGGGGTATTTTTTGCACGAGTAACAGGTTTCTGTTCGATTGAAGCACGAGTAACTTATCAATGAATTTTAATCAGGAAAGTAGTCCGTCATACCCTGACCCTGGGTCATCACCATGGAGTAGCCAATCACGGGATTAGAAATCGATCTCACACATATGTGTGATACCAGTTTTCTCACATGGGTTTCTCACCCACGGGTGTGTAAGAAATATACTTCTCTTCACTTGGTTGTAGTCAACGTTAGCCTGATAACGGTTTAACAATCTGCATCAAAAGTTGTTATCAGTAAAGTTGTATGCTTCATTAATCTGGTGTTTGCCATATCATGCTATGTATATATACTTCTCTTCACTTGGTTGTAGGGGCGGTGGGGTAGCCTTGTGGTTCAAGCGTATGTCGTCTCGCCGAATATTGCTGGAATATTGCTAAAAGCGTCGTAGAACAAACTCACTCACTCACTCTTCACTTGGTTGTAGGGGCGGTGGGGTAGCCTTGTGGTTCAAGCGTATGTCGTCTCGCCGAATATTGCTGGAATATTGCTAAAAGCGTCGTAGAACAAACTCACTCACTCACTCTTCACTTGGTTGTAGGGGCAGTGGGGTAGCCTTGTGGTTCAAGCGTATGTCGTCACGCCGAATATTGCTGGAATATTGCTAAAAGCGTCGTAAAACTAAACTCACACACTCTCTTGGTTGTAGTCACTCGTACCCTGATAACGGTGTAGCAATCTATACCTAAAAGTCGCTCTACGCAAAAAACAGGATGGTGTTATCCGGAAAGTTGTATGCTTCATTATTGACTCATCAACTTCTAGAATGCAGATCAAACCAGTAGCGGGCAGATAACGATTTGTTTTGCCCCCTCCCCTCCCCTTGTGAAACAAGAAAATAAATACAGAAAAAAGACCATTGACGTTGGGTATCTATAGCGTAAAACGGGCTCCTGTCGTGGCGGTATCAACACAAACATCTGACACATGACAGGTTTATTTGTGCCGAAAATATCATCTAACTCAAACTTTACCTTTACAGCTTTGTTGTACATTTTGCTGTGGCAAACATACATGTGGCACTTTCAAACGTGCATGATGGTGGCGTTTTCCTCAGGTTTTACAGTAATGGGATTTCCTAGAGGACAGAAATAAAGATTAAGGTATTTAATAGTTATTTTAAAATCTTGGTCAGTTATATTGGGTACATTTACTTCAGGAATTTGTAAAGTCATCTATAGACATTTGTTATTCTGCAAAGCGAACGTAAAAGGTAAACCAACAGTGAACATTATCTGACTGTGTTACTGACAATTAACGATGACACTGGAGTCTTCGTGAAAAGGGTAAGCATGTCCTGCCTTATCATTCAAACAATTATCCTTAAAAAAATATATAATGTTTCCCGCCGCCGCGCAGTAGTTCTCATGCCATGTGACGGCGACATTTGAACAAACTAGAGTGAGTGAGTGAGTGAGATAAGATTTCAGCAGTATTTCAGCCATGCCGTGACTACAAAAGTATTTCATATACCGCTAATACATGTTGTTGGACAAACTAGACAACAGATGGATGGACCAATAATCCTGCCACAAGATAGCGCATTGATTGATGTTGCTCAACCGGAAACAAGATATATTAACCTGAGATAATGTTTGCTGTGGTCAAATGCAGATATTCGGCTTCCCATAAGTTAAACACAAATGTTTAAGGAATATGTTCGTTGCATCACAGTGGGGACAGTCTTGGTGTCTCGACCTAAGCATTTGTGTTTGTTTCAAATCATTATACGATGTAAATGGCAGAATAACCAGTCTTGGATATACAACGAAACAGATTCCACTGAACGTGAAAGGCAGAGCGAGGTTAAAAAGATCATATGAAAGGGAGTGATCGGATACCACACATGATAGTACGTACATTGAAGCCAGGCAGATATGGATTGCTCTGTTTTGGCGTTTAAATGACCAGCCTTTGTTACACAGGTTGTCCAGCAAGTGTTGTCTTGTTTAGTTTATTTTTAGTCATAAACTGAATGTTTCTCACCAGATTTGTTTGGAGCAGACATACATTGGTGTCGGTTGTGGCATTCCATTAAATGACCCGCCTTTGTTTATCGACATGGGGTAAGCGCCGACATTCTCGACAAACAACCAGTCCCCGATTTCAAGCTCTGGTAAGTGACACTCCTTGAAAAGGATGTCGTGACCTGCACACGTCTGTCCCCAGACACTGGACTTGAAGGTCACATCACTCCGTGGAGCCTGGAACAAGAATACTGAGGAAGCAGGTACTAGTTAGGTACTAAGGTTAGGGCCTCCACCGTAGTGTCAAATTTGCAGATACAAATGAATTTAGGGTTCCCAACGAAAGTGCTTGATCAACAGCTGATGATTCAGTCTGTCAAAGCTGATAACAATGAGCAGTATTTTTGAGCGTTTCCCTGACCCTCCTGGGCGAGGTCACATGACTGTCGCTGAGAAACATGGAGAGTTTGTTTCGGTGCCAATCACTGATTGGATCTGCAAACATCAGTATTTCGTCTCATCTTCTTCAAGTGATAAATCAGCTGCGGTAATTAAAATCTTACCTTTAGCAACGACGGTTGGTTCGCTGCAGTGCATTTCGAAAATACGGCGTTGAACGTTCCAAACACAGTGTCATTCAGAAAGTAAAGGAATTCTTTCGCAACACCATCTGAAGATGACAATGATTTTGACGATTTTGGGTTCAATCAACCTCTTATTGAGTGAGTGAGATGTTCTCAAATGATGCATATTTGGGGCGTTTACCACGTCAAATAACAGAGCTCGGGGGAAGACAAGACTCAGACCCACGGTCATTGGCTTCTGTCATTCCTAAGGGTGCTATGTTTTATACTGTGAATTCTGGAACCTTATTACATTAGACAAACTTTATAGATAACAATTTCGTGAGTGGGGCGTTTCGATACAGATTCTTGTAGGTTTATCAAGCAGGAACATTATCCATAAAATTTGTCCATATTGTACTTCCCAGCACCTAAAATGCCTAAAAAGTTACCTTAATCTATAGTGATAGCCGTGCCGCATATAAAGAATATTTCAGATATTGAGTATTCTGAAGGGAAGTGTTTAAATTGATTTATCAACGACACAAAACCACTGTAGATATCGCTCGGGAGATATCAAACGATATGTATCAGGAGATGTCACTGCAACGAAATTACGTCACAATGCTTTGAAGACCGTTCTAAAGTTAACCGTTTCCAAGGTGCCACAATCACATGCTATCACTAATCTATATGTTTCTAAAGACAGTTACGCCAAAGACACTAGTCATAACTGTTACCAAACCGGATAGGTTTAAGGAATTATGTTGGATGATAAATAGAATCTCGCCCTGTCTTGATATCACATATCAAAGAATCGGCTGTGATTCTCCATACTGAAGCTGATTTTTATTAAAGATCTCCACATTCAACCATCCAGACCTGCTACAATTATTGATCAATTCATCATTATTTAGTCAAAACAGTGCTGGTGTATTATTACAAGTATCTACTAGAGGAAATAATACAAGAGAATGATCATGAAATCGTTGGATGCACCGAAAACTTGATGTCTAATGTTGAGCATACGGACCTTGGATCACCTTCTTCCCGATAACTGTCAGGACCAGGGTCGCACACGATGCCACAAAGTAGCGACCAGGCTCTGCAATTATCCTCACTCCTCTCTTAGCGGGAAAGTGGTCCTCCAGGGCAATGCTGATGAGGCCTGCAACCTGCAAATACCAGTCAACACACGCTGACCATCAACCTGCAAATACCAGTCAACACACGCTGACCATCAACCTGCAAATACCAGTCAACACAAGCTGACCATGAACCTGCAAATACCAGTCAACACAACCTGCAAATACCTGCCAACACAAGCTGTATCTGTGGTGAATATGCATTGTGTGAACAGAATTGAATTGTATCTTCTGAGGTTGTAAAAAGAAACACAAATCCGTTGATTTCACATCTACAGCATAGTCAGTGTTATAATGTCTGAATAGAAGCGACAAACTCCTTTCCACATCCAAATGAAATCTCCACTAAAGCAGAGTCTATTGTACAATTATGACTATATCATGAGAATATGTTTCTGTCGGCATTATTACAGCTGTACGATGTTTGTAATCAAATCAAGTCTGGAACAGGCAATCCAATGATTGTCAACAGACTCAACACACGCTGACCATCAACCTGAGTGTTAACTCAGTGTATCTGAGTTTGGATAACTCACAAATGGAGGGTGTACCTTTGTCAACGACTCTCTATCTAATGCATTCCAATAACAATGAACCCGACTACTGTTTTCACTGAATCACCGAGGTCATGCAGTCATGACCAATATTAAAATGTTGAGAGGACATTGTTGGACGCTATCATCAAATAATGCAACCAGATGATTTCAAATCATTTAGGTTCGAAATCATTTGTAAAACAAACAAGGCAAAAAAGTCAACTGGGCTCAGTAATATCCTCAACCTCGTTTACAGCATCAGCTGAAGAACAAATTGGATTTTGGAGGAGTACTAATGCCGCTTTCTCTTAAAAAGCACAATTTTATAACGCAACTCACATATATACACTGTTGTGTTAATGGCAAGCTGTGACGGATAGTTGATATTGACATTGATAAATATTTATACCCAAGATCGATTGATATTTCGAAAACTGGTCATGTTTGTCTTTGTAATTTTGTGATCTCCGTCTGTTACCACAAACAGCATTCAGGTTATTTACATGGTCTGACATCTTCTGAATAATACATGTCTCTGAAATATGGACTTTGTGTATATGGTATATGGACTATATTTTGGTTTACACTTTCTCAGTAAAGTGCAGATTTTTGTACATTTGGGGTGTCCCATCCGGGATTCGAACCCTCGCTCTCTTGGGCACCTAATTGCCAGGTAACAAGGTAGTGCTTGTAGTTGTAATTTCTGACAGATAGTAACTGCTCCATTCTCTTGGGTCAAACATCTCTCGTCTGTTAGATGATTTAGTGACATTTTGGAAAACATGGAATAGTTTTATTGATAGAATTCCTTGGATTCCCTCTCCCTCTCACGTCGTGCGTAAACACATATTTCTAAGTTTAAAACATAACAAAACGTTTTCTGTAGATCCAATTATCGAAAGCAATCTTTGCACTGGGCCTCTCCTGTGGATATAGAAGCTGGGCGAAAGAATCCATAGTTTTCAAGTTATAAGTGAAGGCTGCACAACTGTTGATGTGAAAATATTTTAGTAAAGACATGAAAATAGCTGAAAATCTAAATGATGAAATCAAACTAGTCTCTAGTCACATGACCCAATAACGATAATATATTGTCAAGGATCTATGCCTGCAACTACTGAGAAATAAATAGAATCCACACAAAATGCAATTGAGTGAGTGAGATTAGTTTTATGCCCCACTCAGCAATATTGCATCAGTATGTCGGCGGTCTGTATATAAACCAGTTATCAAAAGCATGAGCATCGGTTTACGTAATTGGGATACGATGACATGTGTCAACCAAGTCAGCAAGCCTGACAACCCAATCCCGTTAGTCGCCTCTTACGACAAGCATGGGTTACTGAAGATCAATTCTATCCCGGACCTTCATGGGTCCATAAAATACAAACTGCTAGACATCGGTTATGTCTTTCTTCTGCATATGTGCATTAACCTACGGGAGTCATACTTCCTGAACTGAAAACAAGAACAAAACAGATTCCACCAGGGGTTTTCGCCTGAAAGTTTCTGTCATCTGATTGCTTGGTTAAAAAAATGACTCACGATCAACCCCTACTTCTGGAAAGTATTACTGTTAGCCTGTGGATGTTAATGGAGTTACCTCTTTAAATTCCACAGGAGCTCTCGTTTTCCCGAAGAAACCCCCTCCAATATCCAGGACACTCAGAGAAATGTCGAGTTCGGAGGCAATGGCAAAGGCCCTGTCAGCTCTTTCTATGGCATCAATGAACACACGGCCATCCACGACTCCACTTCCAACATGGAAACTGTCAAATGTATACAATAACTTCTTTGAGTGGCATTTTAGAAGTTGGGAAGTACAATATAGAACAAACTTTACGGATAACAACTTCTTTTTATTCGTGAGTGCGACGTTTCGATACAGATTCTTGTACCGTTGTCAAGCATAATGATTCCTTAATGACAATAACAACTGATATGATTATCGACGAGTGAGTGAGTTAACATTTAACTTCGCATTAGTAATATATCTACGGGCGATGGTCCATTGGACATCCTAACACCCGATGGGTGATTTGTCAATTTAGTATTATCACTTTCTTTTCAAAGTGTCATTGAGATTGAAGTAACGACATTACAAGGTAGTAAACTAGATATGGTGAACACTTCATCTCGCGGAATGGGACTTTGAAATGTTGAATTGTGAGAGGGAGGTTAAGCTTGGGAGCAATTCGTCATTCAACACTGTTATAAAGAGCTTGTGTACAAAGTTTGAGGATGTCATCTTTCCAATATTTATTGTGACTTGTATCCAACCAACATGACAGTTTCGATTTCCCCTGGTAAGATATTCACGTTGCCATGACAATACTTACCATCCACAGATACGAATACGTTCGTATGTATTCCCACTATCGCTTCTAATGTTCAGTGTTGACAGGCTGAAGTACATGGCTTAAGTAAGTGTCCATATTTGATGAGACACTTAGCATATCGTTAGATGAACAAATAACGTTAGATCACAGAGAACCAGGAACAGTACCACTTAGCATAACGTTAGATCAACACATATCACAGAGAACCAGGAACAGTACCACTTAGCATAACGTTAGATCAACCCATATCACAGAGAACCAGGAACAGTACCTGATCCCAACTACATTCAGTCCCATTCCTTTAGCGGCTGCAAGAAGAGGCCGGATGTGATGCTGTTCACATCCATATTGGATGCTTAACCGGTACTGCACGTCATATTTGTCTGAAGGTTTTATTCTCAGCAACAATCTGAATGGTTAAATACAAAAACAAAATTACTGACCAAATCAGGAAGAGCTACAAGCTATTTATTGAAGTTCTTCTAAAGCCCCATTCACATGCACAAATTTACTCATGTAAGTAAATTTGCACATATAAATTTACTTTGCGTAAACAGGGTGTAAACAATAAATTATCAAATTGTCTCATTTTTCCTCCGAACTTCAACAGAAATTTTTGAAGACAAACACAGTATCAGATATGTACTGCTCTTGCAATAGGTCTGTCACAAGATAGAGCTCTCTGGAAGAAAGAAAGACAGTCTGGTGGAACGACATGAATAAATCTAATGACCACAAAGACTGGTACGATAATTTTCGAATGAACAAAGTTTCTTTTTATCTTATCTGCAGATAACTGCAGGATTACTTAAAAGCTAGTGACCAAGCTGTTCGCCAACCTGTGGATGTACGAATGAAAGTTGGAATCGCAAAATACTGGATGGCTTCAACTTCAGAATATAGAACTGTGGGAAACTTGTTTTGTGTTGGGAAGTCCACTGTTTGTAAATGCATTCATGAAGTTTGTCAGACCATATGTGATGTTTTGCTTCCGGAATATGTAACGTTTCCCCTAAATGAAGATATGAAGGACGTGATACTAGGATTTGAGCGCAAATGGTCTTTTCCAAACTGTGCAGGAGCCATAGATGGATGTCACATTCCTATCGTTGCACTGCAGGAAGATCATGGGGATTATCTAAACCGAAAGGGCTGGTACTCCCTCATTCTCCAGGCCGTCTGTGATCACAAATATGTCTTCAGATATATTAACAATGGATGGCCTGGGCAAGTTCATGGCGCCAAAATGTTTTCTAATTCTGAAATCTTTCAAAAAAGGTGAGGAATCGAGGCTTTTTCCAAAGTGGTTTTAAAAAGTGTCCCTATCAGACAAGGATGTGCAGCTGCCAGTTGTCATTCCAGCTGGAGATCCAGCTTGCCCACTCAGATCATGGCTTTTGAAACCGTGTCCTAAACGTGGAGCATTATCTAACAGACAAAGGGGTTTCAATTACCGTTTGAGTAGTGCCAGAATGACAACAGAAAATTATTTTGGAAGACTGAAAGGGCGTTGGAGATGCTTGCAGAAACGTTTGGATGTGGGTCTAGAGTTTTCCTGTACTGTAATAGCTACGTGCGTTGTGCTTCACAACCTATGTGAGATTCACAATCAACGCTATGACGATATCTGGCAGGTGGAGGAACCTTTGCAGGAAGCTATGGAAGATGCTGGGCAAGAAGATGCTGCGGATCAGCCAGGCAAAGTCACTCGTGACAATAACATGCAGGCATTTGCGGAAGCTGTGTTGTAACCCGCAAATAATGACTTGAAGTGGAAGTTTTCTGTTGTAAATGTAAATGGTTATTCAATTTGGAGTTTTTATATTTTATTCAATGTTGGCTGTATGTCCTAAGAACATATCTCCTGGTTCAGTTTCAAGAGTTTATATGCAGTGATAATGACATTCCATACATCACTCAGATTACGATGTATTGCTATATGAAAGTAAAACAAATCATTGAAATCAAATGTTCTGTTTTTGTGCAGCGAGATCGAGTATATTCATCTAATACGATTGTAACGATTGTACTCCAAAAATAAAACCTGTCAGAAGTGTTGCAGTTATAACTCCACAGACAGTTGGGGGCAGATGGAAGGCCAATATTGGTATGGGGTGTAGTTGGTACGCCAGGACCAAGAGTGACATGAACTCAATTTGCAACTGACATTGCATCCTAAACGTGTATAACAATCATTTGTAACGGTACTTTTGACAACTTTCTTTTAGCAGGACCATTCAAGTGGCAATTTTGATGTTTACACAGAACATTTATACAAAAAGTCATGTTTATCTATACACACTGATTATGTTTTTCTTTAAACAAATGTAAGAACAAGGTACAATCCATATGAAACTTTGATTCTTATGACTGTATGATCTACACAAGCTAATTCAAACAAAAATACAAAACTTTAAATGTCTGTTGTACTTTGTTCTGTCTACATGAAGAAACATTATTTGAAATACAAAATACATGTGGCTAGTTGAAGGGTACAAACTAAACTATTCTCAATGTCTTTTGAAGAAAACTTGCAACAATAAATCAGAAACAATAAACATTTCAGAAAATATCAGAAATTCACGTTCAAACTTTTTGCTTTCGTTTACATGTTGTAAAAGGAAGAGCCATAAGAATCATACGATTCTCCAGAGGGACGTGGTGCTGTATCAGTGTGCTGCCTTGAAGAAGTGCGTGGCCCCATCCATGATGCGTTTTTGTTACCTCCTAGTACCAGGTCTGTTCTGTCCAACAGACCCAAGAATCATTTGCATCATGTTGAACTGATGCTGGCGTTCCTCACAGCGCTGTCTTTCCTCTGACTCCATTTTCATTTTTCCCATTTCAATGCACTTTATTTCTACTTCGACTTTCATCCTTACTAGTTCGACAAATTTGTCTTCTACCTTTTTATTCGATTCTGACATTTCGTTAAATGCAGTTGACAAAGCAATTTCCAGCTTAGTTTTTCTGGCTTTCTTTGCCTTTGATAACCCGTTTTCCCGGATTCCAGATGTCCAAAGTGTTATCTCCTACTCCTTTGTCTTGGTCTTTGCTCCTGGACATCACTCCTTTAACTGGCTTCAAGGGTGGGTCCACATCTGAATCCGTCTCTACATCCCTGGAAAGATCGGCGTCATTGCTCTCATAGGGTCTTCCTCCTCTAGTGTACTTCATTGTGAAACTTGTATCTTCAGTACTTCCATGTTCCAGATCATTATCATCATTGTCACTATCATTATCGCTTCCCTCGTCTTCATTGCCCACATCTTGCACTCTTTTTCTTGATAACGATTCAATAACTTTCACAGGGGATGACGCAGGTCGGTTGCCAAATATTTCTTGCATTTTGTCAAAGAATTTACAGGTAGAGCGACCAGATCCACTTTTGTTCATTTTGGTTTTACAGCTGCGATAAGATCGTTTAAGCGTGTGCATTTTAGTTTTACACTGCTCGGCAGATTTTTCAAAGCCACAATCTTCTAATGCTGCAGACACACTTTTATATATATTACTGTTATTCTTTTGGGGGTCATCCAAGCTTTCTTCGACATGTGGTTCTTGCCATACACTAAACAAAGGCAGTGTTTCTTCATCAGTCCAGGACTGACCTCTTCGTTTAGTATTGTTTGACTGTTTCCAGGCTATAATCAACTAAGTATCCATGAGACATTGTAACCGCTCGGTACCAAACAGTCCTAAACTATCGTACAACTAATCACTCTGCGTAGGGCTGAACAAATATTGAGCCCTTAGACGTCCACCCCAACGCGATTGAACAACCGTTTCTCGATCAATCTCCACATTATAATAATATACCTCTGTAAAGGGTTCAAATCTTTAATTGGGAGTGAGGGGGTAATACCATGTCGTCTGGGACAATGAGCAATTCCTCTCGCACAAATCCCCAAGTCCATCCTTGAGGTTATACAATTAGGGTTCATCTTCTTTGATATCCACCCGATCAATGTGGTACGTTTACATGGACCACACGGGGTTGGTGGCACGGTATCGATCACCTCCCTCGAGTTCCCCGGGTTTGTACAAATACCTCACACTGATCCGACCCGATAGTTTCTTCTCTGTTTTTTTACCACTTGGTGGTACAGTCGATTCTGGAGTCAACGATTTCCTTTTAATGGCCTCGTCAGGTTTCTTGTTGATGACTCGCATCACTTCATCATTGATTGGCCCCACCACTTTGGGTAAACGCACGACCCATTCCATCGATCGTTTTTCTGGCGTCACCATTTCCTGTGAGTACTGGTGTCCAAACAAGCGTTTGGCTAACGTTCGGTTAAATCTCTCGACGATGGCTTGGCTGCGATGTGCTCCCACCATAATGCGCCTGACTTCGACCTTGTGTTTGGCCCCAAGTCGAAACGGCCCCAAATTGGCTATAACGGCCTCAAATGCTTTGGCTGAAATGGCCCAATGACTAAACGGCCCCATATTTGACAAAATAGCCCCAAAATAATCAGCGTTTTTTCAATGTGTGACCTTAGTCATAAATGATAGATCAAAACGCATATTTTTCAATTACATGTGGAAGATATGAATCAAACGGAATATTGTACAGATCGTCTGACAATATTCACTAAAATTTAAGTTTGACAAATAAAACATTAGATTTCAGAATCAGAATTCAAATTGTTAAAAACAGATCCATACCATGAAGTCACACATACAGTCATTAAAACAACATTGAAGTAGCAGTTGCTCTGTGTCGAGTGAATCCTGACAGAGCTGGTGTTTTGACAAACATTAGCAATAGTACATAAATGAATATGATAAAAAACAAGTCTATGAACTCAAGACTATGGCATAGTGTTCTCTGTGTCAATCATATACAGTATTTATTGATGGGGATAGATGGTTACTGTACATTCACAAGAAGTTAATGGCTTTGCCGTTCCTGCCCGCTTCACACCTTTCAAGCTTGTTTGAAAGGATGTCAGAGAGAGTGCCTCCCCAGGAAAGCTGTGGGACCTGGTGTGGTATGTCTCAAGACACTTGATTGAGCACCCTACATTTACACCAAAGTCCTGGTCAGTGTTCAATGGGACAGTTCGGACACACAACCATGTCGAGGGTAGGTTTCTTTCAGTATATCAATATATATACCCTATATACAAGATAACTAAAATGTATGAAAGAGAAATAAAGATCTATGTAATGCCCCAAAAGTATTAAACATTTGATTGGATTAATATTTGATGGATAGCATTATGGTATTGTTAATTGTTTCTGTATTCTTAATAGGCTGGCACAGACGAATCAACAGTAAGTTGGCGACCAGCCCCTTGGCATATACAGACTAATCCCTGAATTGCACAGAGAAGCCAGTCTGTTGCCTTGCAAGTTCGGATGATTCAAGAAGGCCGACTTCGAACCTACCTGCGCAACTCT